CTTCTGCGTTTCGGGCGAACAGCCACAGGTAGCGGCCCGCCGCGGTCGCCTACAAGGCGTACCACCACCACCAGATGCAGTTGACGAAGGAGACCGACTGCGGAGGGCTACAAGGAACCCTCTTGCCTCCGCCGGCTCGGGGGCTCCACGACTACCCGACTGGGCGAGATTTGATATCCAACGCAGTCTGCAAAATCTCCGTAGTCACGAACCTCATGTCGTTACATAGGAACTCCGTAAACTGCACCTACGGTGGCATCATGCGAAGGAACCCAAGATGAGGCTAATCCTAGACAAAGTGGGACTGGACAACGTTCGACTGAATATGATCGCAGAAGTGTGTGACACCTGTCGGGAATGCAGAGTATGGGAACGTCCAGGAAACTCAGCGCTACCTTCGGTGAGCCTTCCTGGAAATCGGCTCGACGAAGGCGAAATGGGTCTCATGTTTTACAAGAAACGAACCATATTCCACATTATGGATCGTTGTATTCGCCTGGCAGCAGGCCAAGAGATTGCCGACGGAGAACGTGACGCTATACTCGACGCCTACCACTACTGCTGGATTGCCTACCATGGACCCTTCAAAGTCTCGTGCTCAGATGGAGAAGGTGCCCTGAACAATGATGCCGCCAAGGCCATGATGGCGAACAAGGGTACAACGCTCCGTATCCGAGCGCCTGGCCAACACGCGACTTCAATCGAGTCACGAAACGGTATTCTCAGGGGCGTTCTCCACGTGATTGAGGAAGAGCTGAACAGACACAACATCCCCGTTGTATTCACTAGAGTATTGGCTGAAGGCATCTTCGTTACCAATGCCTTCACGTTTTACAACGGAGTATCGCCCTGCCAAGCACGCGCTGGACGCCAGCCCGCCTTTCTTCCTGACCTCGACACCCTTGACTTTCCCAAGGGGCCCGAGACGTCAGACCATGAACGAGATCGTCGCGCGAGGGAAGTTAGCCTAGAAGCAATAACTCAAGCCGCGGCTGTGGCCAAGACAAATCGTGCTCTCAGGGCCAAAACGGCTCCAGATGGTGCTCGCCTTTACTCAGCAGGGGATCTGGTCGACTACCATCGACCCACTGCCACGAAGTGCGATCGTGGAGGCTGGAACGGCCCATTCCCTGTGATCCGCACCGTGCCTGGAAGAGGACACATCGTTGTCAAGGCAGGATCTCGTGAGGTAATTGTGATGTATCCTGATGCTCGCCACGCGCTCTACATTGAATGCCTCCTTGCACGGGAACTTGACATGGGTAATATGGCCATGCAAACAGTTCTTACGTATGTGGCACACCTTGGCGCAGGGAGACCTGCCAAAGTCTTTGGCTACATCCCAGATTACAAGGGAAACCTCAATCTTTCAGACGACAGCAAGTTTCACCCGCGCGTACATCTTGCACTGCAGTATCTCGTGCGAAATTATTTCCGAGTAGAACACGTAGTAGCAGTTAGACTGGCCAAAAGTGTCATGTCTACCTGCAGTAAAGTACGCCACCGGATCTACGCTGATCCACTACGACAATGATGTTAGCCCAGCCTTCCACTATTATGAGTGTGTGGGTACTGGTCTGAACATTTCTCAAATCACTGGCAGCACTCATTCCAGACTCATCCAATGCTTGACCTCACATGTTCCTTCCTTAGGATTTCACGACGACCTGGCCATGCATCAGCACTCGGGCACCACGTCTGGAGAACACGATTCGCCTGGAAACAGGCCCCCACCAGACACCCCAGGTGCTTCATCGCCAAGTGAAGGCCGTCTATCGACAATCTATGAAGACAACGAGGAACATAATATCGAAGCCATGATGCTGGCAGAGTGGTGCGATGAGTTACGCATGGACCTTCATCCCACGACGACTACCGACGATTATCTCTACTGCGTCCCAACAACTATGCTGCCCGACCAATGTGTTTTGGTTTCAGCATCTGTGGACGACGAAGATACCGTATTGTCGGAAACGCCCGGAGACGAGCCTGAACCACAAGAGCCCTGTCTAGTCTCTCTATGCTCGACCACACCTGACGAGGGCTACTCTCTTGACAGTGATGAATATGGTCCCTATGTTGAGTTATGTTTTACATCAGAAATGTCAAAAGTAGTGTTGGATCAGACTCAACTTGCACAGATAGACACTGATATGGTCGCAACGATGAGAGTATATGTATCCTCTGCTGCTAAATGTGCTGTGGTAGTCAAGGAAGACGACCTACTCACCAAAGCCGACATAGCAGCACACCCGAAAGAGGCTAGTAAAACTTTGCGCGCTGAACTCAAGATCTGGCTTGATAACCGGTGCTTTGAGATGTATGATTTATCCAAAGCTTCAACCATAATGACATCCAGATATGTATATAAGTGGAAGTTTGTGAAGGTAGCTACCGAGAACGTTAAAGCCATCCGTCTCAGACTTGTCCTTCGTGGATTTATGGGCACTGAGGCTTTCGATGTGGAAACCTTTTCGGGAACCGCTCGAAGGCAGTCCCAGAGACTCCTAGCAAGTGAGGCGGCATGCCATCCAGAGTGGATCTTAGCATCCATGGATATCGACAAAGCATTCCTCAAGGGTTTGACCGGTGAGGAACTTGCCCATGCCACCGGCGAGGAAACTCGCACGGTTTGCTTCGCTCTTCCACCGGGAAGTGCCCAGGTCATTCGTGCATTGCCCGGCTTTTCATCCTATGACGAAAGCCGACACTGCCTCAGGTGCCTCAAGCCAGGAACGGGTACAAAGGACGCCCCAAGAGCGTTCTCTCTCAAGCTTCGTACGACCACACGAGCTATAGGCCTTACACCGACAAGTTATGTTCCTGAGTTTGAATTCAGCCAAGATCTGTTAACGGCAAAACATGTCGATGCCATTAATATGACAGGCCTAGAGAAACATATAGACGACGATGTGCAACGTGTCGAAAAGGTGTTTGGCAAATGCAAGCTTAACAAACACTCATATGCGAACTGCGCCGTTCGCTACACTAAGAATGACCAAGGGGATGTGATCATGGATCAGGACGAGTATATCAAACAACTACGTCCTATCACACACCCAGAACTTACAGGAGCGGCGGCCGATGCCAAAGCCACCGAACTCATCACCGACATGTTCGTCAGCTTGCGAGGAGCCCTCGCCTATGCCCTTCTTACTCAAGTCTGGCTCATGGTATATGTGGTCTCTCTTCAGAAAATCCAAGAGCTCACCAACCTATAAGTCAGACGACTGTGCTGTGACGCGAAAGCTGATCAGCAGCCCGAAACGCATCACCTTCCCTCGGATGAAGCCGACGAATGAAGTTGACATACACAGTGATTCGGGGTATCGGAAGCTCACCGGGGAGGAGGACGATAAGACCAAGGGCTATGGCATACGCGGGGCCAACGTACTACGGCGAGGGAACTCGCCTCAAGGCAAATCCGTCGTTCACCTCTGTGACGGACTATGCAAATCACACCGACTGCAGGTGAGGTCCAGCTATGCCGCTGAGGCACTTGCAGCTGCGCACAACCTCGATGAGTGTTACCCTACGCTCATCACTCTCCACGAGCTCAAGGCAGGGGCTCTGACTCCACGACAACTACGAGATATGCGTGCAGTTGGGGGCCTAGCTATTAAAGTATCCCTCACCATAGACGCGGAGTCGGTATATAAATCGCTATCCAGCAAGGATCTTCAGATACCGACGGCACGGACCTTGCTTGGACATATTAGCTGGATACGTGAGCTCATGGATATAGGTATAGTGCATAATGTGCAGTGGTGTGATACTATATATATGACCGCAGATGGGCATACAAAGGGGAGCATCGATCGGGAGCTGCTTTTGGAAGTGATGTCAGGCAACCAGTCATTTAAGCATGACGTGAAGCAGTTTGTTCCCTTTCGGGGTCCCGAGGACAGAAACAAGCCTAAGTCTAATCAATTTTAGTCTGTCCTTGTTGCCCCCGCGGTCCAATTTGCCAGCACTACAGAGGCGCCCTTCTAGGTGCTCGGAAACGAGCCTTACATTTCACGCCTGGTAACGAGCTTGTTTAATGTGATTCAGGCTCTTTGCCTTAATACCCGTTTGCTCGGTGAGGTATGGCCCGTTTGGCTTATCTCTAGCCGAGCCGATAGCCCTTTACCATTCAAGGGGCTGTCTCGTATTTGCGTGAAATGCCTTGCGAGGAAACTCGCCTTACAGCCTGGTGTTAGGCCAGTCTGTATGCATTGTTTTCTTGCAAACAGTTGCGCGCGCGGCCTTTGTAGAGCCTAACGGCTGCGCAGCTATACTCTCCGTCTCCTCCCCTCCCGACTTTAAGGGTAGCTCTTTGGGAGATGTTATAGCTCGCGCGCCGTTGCCTTTGGCTCAAGGCACGCGCGCCCTATTTGCCCGGACACTTACCTTAGTGTTCGCTATGTGCTGGAAAGATCATTACATCGATCTTATCCTATCTTTTCCGTCCATTCCCCATACTGAACCACCCCAGCAGGGCAATGGGCGTTATCTGCCATTCGATTCCCATGGGAGTGGATGTTATTTGACTTACCATAGTCACTTTCGACTGACACGACACGAACCTTCCTTTGTTTTTTTTTTCAAGGCTTTTCCAGGTTCTCAGCATTTCGTGCAAAGGCAGCCCAAGATAGCTCCAGGATCTACCAGAGACGCCCCAAGACTGCCCATAATGCCCCGATGAGAGCCTCGACGCGGCCCAGGAGTGCTCCACGTCATCTTCAGCAGCGAGTGACCGACCTCTTGCGTGGCGGCATCTGCGCCCTCGGGGAGACGGGGACGATGTTTAGCGCCAGGGTGTCATATCGAATTCTGTCCACGGCCCTGGGCTCGGGCGATGCGGCCTCCGCGCTCTTGCCGCGGACTGTTAAATTGTGTCCGCGGCCCCGCTGCTCGGCGAGATGTGGAAAGCGAACACGGGGCCCAACTTTCTCGAGTGCGCTTGGCGGCACCACCTTTTCCTCCACAAGTGGACGTAGTCCACGGGCCAGCCCTAGTCAGCTACAACGCTTGCATTAGCGCGTGCGAGAAAGGCGAGCAGTGGCAAAAGGCCCTGTCGCTGCTCTGCGACATGGGGCCGCAGAAGGTGGAACACGACGTTATCAGTTACAACGCAGGAATCAGCGCGTGCGAGAAAGGGGGGCAGTGGCAAAGGGGCTTGTTGCTGCTCAGCGAGATGTGCGAGGCCAGGCTGGAGCCCGACGTCATCTTCTTCTCCTCTCTATGGCAGGCGGAAGCGCGTGCGAAAAAGGCGTGCACTTTCCGCTCCCTCCAGGGCCAGTTTGGCAAGTTTTCGCCACCCCTTACGCAGATTCTGGCCCCCGAGCATCACACATCCAACCCTCTCCCCAAAGACGCGTCGCAGTGCCCATCACAGGCTCCAAGGAGCGTCCACGAGGCCCCCTAGAGGCCCTCAACAACGCCCACGAGGCCCCCTTGAGGACCCTACCGAGGCTCTAGAGGCCCCCAAGAGTCTCCAACAGTTCTCCGAAGCATGTCCCCAATCCTGCATTTTTCAATGGTTTTCGAATGAGTTTTGCCTCCCCGCCTTCTCGGCTAGCCGACGCTTCCAGACGGCCGAAGAGACCCACAAGACCGCCCATGGACGGCCCAAGAGGCCTCCAAACGCGTTCCCAGACGGCCCAGGACGCCCCAAGATGGCCCAAGAGGCGCCCAAGACGGCCCCAGAGGACCCCAAGCCAGGCCCACGAGGGGGCCAAAGAAAGGGGAAAAACCCTGACACTCCGAGCCCTGGCCCCCCCTATGCGCCCACACAAGGTCCCAAGACCCCCCTAAAACGCCTTCAAGAGCCTCCAACACTACTCCGACTCATGCCCACAGAGGCCCACATCCTATATTTTTCCATTGTTTTTGAAGGAGTTTTGCCTTCTCGCCTGCTCGGCTAGCCGACGCTCCAAGCCAGCCAAAGAGACCCACAAGACCGCCTCAGGACGGCCCCAGAGGCCTCCAAGCGCGTCCTCAGACGGCCCAGGGAGGCCCCCAACAAGGCCCTAGAGGCCTCCAAGAGCCTCCAGCAGTCCCCCGAAGCATGCCCCCACAGGCCACGGTCCTTAATGTTTAAATGGTGTTTGCAGGTGTTTTGCCTTCTCGCCTTCTCGGCTAGCCGACGCTCCAAGACGGCCGAAGAGACCCACAAGACGGCCCACCAGGCCTCCAAGCGCGTCTCCAGACGGCCCAGGCAGCCCCAAGATTGCCCAAGAGGCGCCCAAGCCGGCCCCAGAGGACCCCAAGCCAGGCCCACGAGGGGGCCACAGAGCAGGGAAAACCCTGACATTCCGAGCCCTGGGCCCCCATACGCCCACACAAGGCCCCAAGACCCCCCCAAGAGGCCTCCGAGAACATCCAACAGTACTCCGAAGCATGTAAGCATGCCCCCAGAGGCCAACATCCTTAATGTTTCAATTTTTTTTGCAGGTGGTTTGCCTTCTCGCCTTCTCGGCTAGCCGACGCTCCAAGACGGCCGAAGAGACCCACAAGACGGCCCTTGCCTTCTCGCCTTCTCGGCTAGCCGACGCTCCAAGCCAGCCAAAGAGACCCACAAGACGGCCCTTGCCTTCTCGCCTTTTCGGCTAGCCGACGCTCCAAGACGGCCGAATACACCCACAAGACCGCCCTTGCCTTTTCGCCTTCTCGGCTAGCTGACGCTCCAAGACGGCTGAAGACACCCACAAGACAGCCCCGGGACGGCCCAACAGGACTCCAAGCGCGTCCCCAGAAGGCCCAGGGAGCCCCAAGATGGCCCAAGAGGCGCCCAAGCCGCCCCCAGAGGACCCCACGCCAGGACCCCCAGGACGGACCCAAGAGGCACAAATTGCTCCATTCGCTCTGGAAAACGTGCATGTGTGATATGCTCGCTCTTTCTGTCTTCACCGCGTCCAAGACGGCTATACAGGCCTTCCCGATCGCCCCAAGACGCCCCCAGAGCACCCCAGGAGGACCCCCAAACGGCTATACAGGCCCTCCACCTAGCCGCTGGCCCCAAGACGCGCCCAGAGGCCCCCACAGGGCCCCACACGGCCCCGACGGCCCCCGAGAGGCTCCAGGGACGCCGAGACGGCCTCAGAGCACCCTTGGGAGCCCTAAGGCAGCCCCCAAGGCAGGCCAGGAGGCTCCGAAGACGGCCCAGGAGGGCCTCCAGGAGAACCCCAAGAGGCCCACATCGTTCCATTCCCGACGGGAAACGCACATTTTTGCCATGTTCTGTTGTTTCGTCTTCGCAGCGTCCAAGACGGGTATAGAGGCCCTCCACCTCGCCCCAAGACGCGCCCAGAGGCCCTCAAAGGGTCCCACAACCCCAGGACGGCTCCAGAGGCGCCCGAGACGGCCCATGACGCACCCAAGACAGCCCCAAGAGCAGCCAAGAATGGCAAACGGGACGGCTCCGAGAGGCTCCAGGGGGCGCCAAGACGGCCAGAGAGCACCCTTGGGAGCCCCACGACAGCCCCAGAGGCCCCCAAGGCAGGCCAGGAGGCTCCCAAGACGGCCCAGGAGGGCCTCCAGGAGAGCCCCAAGAGGCCCAAATCGTCCCATTCCCGACGGGAGACGCACATTTTCAATGTGTATCTTGCTTTATCGTTCTCGCAGCGTCCAGAAGGCTATACAGGCCCCCCAGCTCGCCCCAAGACGCCCCCATGAGGGCGCCCAAAGGGCCACACACTGCCCCGGGACGGCTCCAGAGGCGCCCGAGACGGCCCAAGACGCACCCAAGACAGCCCCAAGAGCAGTCAATAATGGCCCAAGACGTCTCCACCGCCCCGTCTCCAAGACGGTTGTAGAGGCACCCGCCGCCCCGTCTCCAAGCCTTTCCGTTTGGACAGTCTCCAAGACGGTCTTTGGGCCGTCCGGGACGGCTCCAGAGGCGCCCGAGACGGTTCAAGAAACACCAAAGACAGCCCAAGTAGCGCCCAATATCGGCCCAAGATGACCCCAAGATTGTCCCAAGATGGTCCGAGAGGCGCCCAAGACGGCCCCACATCGCCCCAAGACAGCCCAAGAAGCACTCAAGACTGCCAAAGAGGGCTCCGAGGGACCCACCCCCAGGAGGACGAAAAGAGGCCCCCAAGCGGCCCCCGAGAGGCCTTGGATGCTTCTCTCTTGGGGAGCGTCGAACTTCCAGCATCGTGTTGGAGGCTTCTTGGACCCTCTGGGAGCCATCTCTGCGCTATTTGGGGACGTCTTGGGGAGGTGCGCTCGAAAAGTCGATTCGTGTCATCGCACTGGGGCCCTTCTTAGAGAGTTCCGTCTCGCCGCCCTCTTGCGGGCCTCCTAGGCCGCGCCCCCTGGCCCCATTGTCACCACACTGCCAGATGAAATTATCATTCGGCCCCGGCGAAGAGCAGATAAACTTCTCACGGCTACCTTCCCCGCAGAAGCTATGATGAACACAGACTGCGGCGTCAGAAACAGCTTCTGTCCACACCATGTCATGCCTACATGGGTGTGCTTCCACTGACACCGCCTCCACCACCACGTTCCTGCCTTCAGGCCTGCTTGCCTGCATCCCTCGCCCAACTTCCCCTCCAGCGGCCACCTCCTCCATTCACGCCGTCCCCTCCAACCTCCCCTTACCCGCGAGGCCCCAGAGACGCTCCACTTCCACGTCCACGCCAGGGCGGGCAAATTCCGCGGCCGGAGGCCGCGGGTCAGCCCTAGTCAGCTACTCCGCTGGAATCAGCGCGTGCGAGAAAGGCGAGCAGTGGCAGCATGCGTTGTCGCTGCTCAGTGAGATGAGGGATGTGAAGGTGGAGCGTAGCGTTATCAGCTACAATGCTGGTGTAAGCGCTTGCAAGAACAGCAAGCAGTGGCAGCGAGGTTTGTGGCTGCTCGCCGAGATGCGGGAAGCGAGGCTGAAGCCTAACGTCATCAGCTACAATGCTGGAATCAGCGCGTGCGAAAAATGCGGGCAATGGCAGTCGGGCTTGTCGCTACTCAGCGATATGATGAAAACGAACGTCGAGGCCGACATCATCAGCTACTGCGCTGGGATCAGCGCGTGCGAGAAAGGCGAGCAGTGGCAGGGGGCCCTATCATTATTCCGTGAGATGCAGGATGCGAAGCTGGAGCTCGACGTCATCACGTATAGCGCTGGAATCAGCGCCTGTGTGAAAAGCGAGCAGTGGGAGCGGGCTCTGTCGCTGCTTAGCGAGATGCGTGGAGCGAAGCTGGAGCCCGACGTTATCAGCTGCAGCGCTGGCATCAGCGCGTTCGAGAAAGGCGGGCGATGGCAGCATGCCCTTTTGCTATTCAGCGAGATGTGCGAGGCGAAGTCCGAGCCAAACGTCACTTGCACTATAATTACAGGTCGCTGGTCGCGCTAAGTGCGAGATGGGCCCGGAGTCCAAGCGAGCTCCCCGAGAGGCACCCGGGAGCCTCCCCCACAGAGACCGTCTGAAGAACGACCAAAGACGACCCAATTGGCCCGCAGGCCGCTCGCGCGAGCCAGCCGGGAGGGTCACCAGGTGGCTCCCGAAAGGAGTCCATAGAGGCTTCCAGCAGATGAGCCAGTGTGGCTCCCAGGCCGTCCTCAGCGAGCTCTCAGGAGGTGCAAGCTGGGAACATGCCGCAGTGAGTGTTCCCAAGGAGGCCCCGGTGGCTTTCAGAAGTACCTCGGCCGCCCAAGGACACGCCAAGAGCGCACAAGAGGGCCAAGATGGCCCCAGCTGGCCTCTACGACGGGCCCAAGACGGTTCCAAGGCGACCCAAGGCCGCCCCGACAAGTACTTGGGGCTCGCCCAGACCGACCACAGACCCTCCAAGACCGCACATGCAGGCCCCTGGAGACACCTAAAATACCCGATGGCCACGCCCTACCGGGCCCCCCCAGACCTCCTTCCCCCACGCCCTCCAAAAATGGCACTCGGACGGCCCATGGGACGCCAACATGGTCCCAAGAGGCCCCACGAGGGCCTCCAGCTAAAACACGAGGGCCCCGAGAAGTTGCCAAGACAGCTCCGTGAGGGCCTCTTCGACTGCCTCCACTGAGTTGACGTCGCATGCAGAGCTTTTGAAGCGATCCATCGAACGATAACGCCAGCGTTGCTTTTTCGGCGTCTTGCCCCCCAGTGGACCTCGCTCCCCTTTCCTCCCCGTTACGCCTTTTTCCTCGCGCTTCCTTCTTCCCCCTCCCCTCATCACTTGTCGCTTCGAAGCGAAGGCTTGCAGCCCCACGTCCCAGCCAGAAGGGTAGATTCGCTGTTCGTCAGAGTGAGGGGGCCGAACGGTCATGCACTGCTCCTAGGTGCGTGGCTGAAGTGGGGTCTCGCGGTGCGGATTGTCGTCGTGTCATTGAATTCAAAGTTCAGGAATGATTATTGTTGATGACCCCCTCCGGTAACCATTCTATGCATTTTTCAAATAAAGTGGTTTTCCTGGGGCTCGTACTCTACTTTTATGAGGGAAAGTTGGGTGTCACCAAACTGCGCCCTTGGCCCCCCGAGGAACAAACAACAACGGCTCCCGCCTCATTCCTCAAAATGTATTGAGAAATCGCGGTCTCGCGCGGGACTTCACACAATGTATGCAGGAATCGCGCTCTCGCGTGGGATTTCCTTGAAATTGATGTAGAAGCCGCGCCCTCGACACTCAGGAATCACGCTGTCGCTTTGACCTTTCTCATGGTTCCTCGCGATTCACGCAGGACTTTCGATTCAGCACCCCGCCTGCTCGACCTGGCCGCTTGGGCCCGCCTTCCCGACCCGCCCTCTAGGGTCTGCCCCCCGTGTCCCGGTTTCTCAAGACTTTGTAGGGACACGGGATCAGAATGGGATTCTCTGACACTTCGCGATGACATCAAGCAGCGGCTGCAAGGGCAGGCACACGACCCTGTGCAGCAGCGTGCGCGAGGCATTCGTTGCGACGAGAAGGCAAAGCCTCAGGCTGCGCACGGCGCGGGGGCGCGGGGGCGCAGGGCCTCCATGCCGCCTTCATGCCGTTGTTGGAGAGGAGGTGGCACAGCCGCCACGACTGAGGGAGGGACGGAGGAGAGGCCAGCGGGGAGGGAAGGACCTTGGGCCGAGCCCGTCGATATACTTGCCGTGGAGGTGATAGTCCATTGGCCCCCACACCAGTCAGCTACGGCGCCGGGATCAGCGCGTGCCAGAAGGGCGAGCAGTGGCAGCGGGCCCTGTCGCTTCTCCGCGAGATGCGGGGGGCGGCGCTGGAGCCCGACGTCCTCTGCTACAATGCGGGGATGAGTGCGTGTGAGGCAGACGGGCGCTGGCCGCACGTGCTGTCGTTGCTGCGCGAGCTGAGGGCAGCGGTGCTGGAGCCGGACGCCGTCAGCTACGGCGCCGCAGCCTGCGCGTGCGACAGGGGCGGGCAGTGGCAGCGAATGGTGGCACTGCTCACCGAGATGTGGGAGGCGAAGCTGGAGCCCAGCGTCGACAGCTACGGCGCCGGGGTCAGCGCGTGCGAGAGAAGCGGTTGCCTGGGCCTCGGGGGGCTCTGGCTCCTTCTAGATCTTGGCCAGGGACCGCTCTGGAGATAACCAGTCTTAGCGTCGAGCGCAGCATGAACGGGCTTTATTCCGAGCGTCAGAGGTAAATGCAGAAGCAGGTCCGCTAGGCTGGAGGCGGGAGGCCAAGGCGAAGCCTACGAGTTCTGCGCGAGCAAGAGATGCCAGCATGGGAAGGGGACTCTTCCGCTTACCACCGACGTGTGGTTGGCGAGGCTGGGATCCGACAGCATAATATCTACACTTGTGGGATTGGCACGTGCGAGAGGTGCGAGCAATGGCACGCCGCTTCTCAGCGAGATTTGCGAGGCGATGGTGGAGCCCAACGCCGTTGGCTAACACATTGGGACCAGCGCTTGCGAGAGCGGCGGTCAGCGGCCGCTAGCTATGTCGTCTATGTGCAGGACGTGGGAGGCGACATTCGAGCCAGACGCCACCAGCTGCAGTGTTGAGATCGCTGATCTGATGCGCAAGGCGCGATGCCCCAGGCCAGGTCAAGATCAAGCCTGAGCACTCTGGGGCCACTTTCCTTGTGGCACCACCCTGGTCGCTGAAAGTATGTTGGAATCGGTGATCCTGGTGGAGCTGCTTGTGCTGTCTAGAGCTGATGGCTTCTATCCAAGAGGCTTACGCCATTCCGCCGACCTCCAATAGAGATACATTGGCCCTCTTTGGGTCCTCTTCGGGCCTCTTGGGGGTTTCTTCGGCGCCTGCTGGCGGTCTCGGGAGTCCTCTTAGGGCGGATGGCTCGGAAGATCAGTTACCTCTCTTTGGCCCTTCTTGGGCCACTGTTGGGGCTCTCTTGGGCCATCTTGGGCGCCTCGTGGGCTGTCTTGGGGCCTTCTTCGGTCGTCTTCGGGGCTTCTTGGGCCGCCTTGGAGCGGTCTTGGGGGCCTCTTCAGCCGTCTTGGAAGATGTTAGAACCAAACATGCGCATATGCTCGCACTCTACGTTTCCCCGCAAGCTTTGGACGATTCTTGCTTCTTAGGGCCCCTCGGGGGTCGTCTTGGAGCTCTCTTGGCGCGTCTTTGAGGCCTCTTGAGCATTTTTGTTTTATGGACTCCTCGGCGTGTTGCAGCCCAGCTTCAGCTAGCTTGGAAAGCATCTCAAGCATCCATGAGGCCACGGAGAGTCCCCCGGGGTGCGTTGGCGAGCTCGTCCCTCCATCCCCCAGCCCCCCCCCTGGCCCCCCCAGCCGCCCCCCCTTTCCAATCGAATTCCATGCAACCCCGGGGGAGGGGGCAAGGAGGAGGGGGACAGCCAATCATCTCACACACCTCTGCACCCCGGGCAAGCGGTGGTCGGCGGATCTCTGGCCGCCGATTGCTGGGGCGGGCGGAGCTCCGATCTCTTCTCATAAGCGCCGGGGGGCGGGCGCCGTCCCCGCCGACAACCCCAGACCGACATCGGTCTCGAGCAGGCACTGCGACCCGAACGGCGCCGCGCACCGCCTGACCAGTGCGGGGCGCCGACGATGCGAGGCTGACCCCGACGGGGTCGGGTGCGCCCAAAAGGGGGATGATGACTGATTGCGTGGCCCCCCCTTTCCTTTCCACGTATCCTGGCCTCCCAGGGCCGCGCAGCGCACGTGCTCCGGCAAATGATTTTCGAACCCCCCTCTTTGTCGCCCCCGATGAGCAAGACGGTGGGGGGGCTCCCCGCGGCTACTGCTGGACGCACAGTGTTTCAAGCGGCCCCCTGCTTCATGCTTTTGCCTGCTTCCTCCCCAGACGCCTGGCGCCTCGATCTTTCCGACCCATCCATCGGCGGTGCATCGCCGATTCCATGTCATAGTCTCCCCCATTGACGAGGACCCCATGCATGGTTCCCTCTCATAACATGTTCTGAGGTATCCTCGGTCGTCGTCGATCGGTCTGCGTCGATCGTCGAAGGTCATCCGTCTCTCGTTCATCGTGAGTCTTCGTCGATTTCGTCGTAGTCGTCGTTTTGAGGATCATCGAATGGTCAGGGCTCCCGTCCCTCCTCTCGCCCCAGCCCGCACGGTGGCGCCGGCGCCCCATCGAAATGCTAGGGAGGAGAAGGATGACGCGGAGGAGGATTCGGAGGAAGCGGGGGCAGAGGAGGGGGACAAGTGGGAGGGGGGGGAGGGAGAAGAAGAGGGGAAGCGGGAGGGGATTTAGTTGTTTGGACGTGCGCTGACGTCTGTCCTCAGCTCCTGCATCACACGACCAGGGAACCTAACGAGCGCCCAAAAAACGAGACGAAGCGAGGGTTAGTGGGGGGTAGTGGAGGAGGGGGGGAGGAGGTAGGAGAGGTGGGAGGACAAGCAAAGTGCGCTCGCGCCACATCTGACATCCTGCCCCTACCTCCAATCCCTTCCCATTGCGCTGATTTTTTCTATCCGCAAAAGGTCTATCCGCAAAAGGATGTCGTCGCGCACCTGGAGCACCCAAAAGCACACCATCTTTTGCGCGCAGTAAGAAGATTTGCAGCAGCAGGAGCAGGAGGAACGGGAAGAGCAGGAGAGCCAGGAGAAGGCGGGGGAGGGAACCGGAAGGGGGCGAGTTGATTCAGTCATCACCCCTGCGTTGCCACCACATCGCTGTCCCGCCGTCGCCGCACATCGATGCTTCGGTCGCGTGAATAAAAGACTGCTCCGCCCGCCGCGCGTGCGCGCCCTCCCGGCCGCCCCCTCCCCGCCGGCCGTGTTTTCTCTGCTCACCGTGACTTTAGCTAAGCTCAGCGGCGCACTCACTCTAGCAATGGCGGAAAGAAATACATCACCAATTCGTCGCGTGAACCTAACCATGCATCTCCTACAAGCAGAAGATCATTCATAATTTCAAGATTTTTGTTCCGTTTAACCGGGGTGCGAAAGCTCCCCTCCTGACGGAGAATCGGCAAAACACTGGTTATCAGCCGAAAGATCTTTCACCGATGGAAGCGACGTCACTAGAAGCGGAAATTACGCGATTTCCCATCGGCGGACGATGCGCGAAAAACAGAGACCAACGCCACGACTCAATTAAATGCGAACGTTCCTGGGGCTTTTTCCAACGACGTTGTCGGGGGGCAGAGGCAACGCCTTCATCCGAATATCAGCTGGAACATATCCTACGACCATGAACGCCGCCCAGACCCCGAGGGCCAACGACGACAAGGAGCCTGGCCCGACTGGTACGAGCGCGGCGAGCAGATGTGAATACCGATCGCCAGCCAACCTAACGTCGCCATTGACCTCTCGGAGGGCGACCAGGACATGGGGTCTATCTCATCGGATGAGCATATCTTCCGCGCGTCGACGCCCAGACCGGTCGCTTACGGGAGCGCTGAGTTGCCGCGGGGGGGGTGGCGTTGAGGCTCATGGCGTCAGTGTCCTGCCCCCTGGCAGATGATCCATCCTCCGTGCCCGCCCCCCTAGCAGACGATCCATCCTCCGTGCCCTCGCCCCTCGCCGTCCGTGCCCGTGACTGCGAGGAGGAAACGTCCCCGCCCGACGGCTGCCTTGAACGGGATCTCGAGGAGCTCATGGGGCGTCGGCCCGCGGACAGCCTGGCAGTCTCTTCGTGACATCACCGCTCATAAGCGGACAGTTCTGACGGCAAACCCGAGAACGGGCCTGTGCGCGCTCCAGGGGAGGGGCCCGGTAGCTACACGCGCGGGCCTCACCCGTTCCTTTTTTTCAGCCCAATCAATTTTCGGTTTCCGACCCCAGCGCCCGAGGCCCTCGACCCACGCGCCCGCTCTCCCCGCAAGAGGAGTTCGGAAAGCGGCAGGCCGCGGGCGCCACGACCGCGATCGGAAGCGTCCGACCTATCGAATTTGGAGGGCTGGTCGAGTGCGTTCAGCATGCGCACCAAGGCGAAGCGCGCTCACTTCGGGGCCGCGGTGCGCGCCGCTCCGCGGGGCTCGGCACCCCGGGGCGTCAGGCAAATTCAAGATGGTGGTATGTCATGGGTGCTCGGGATTCTGTGGCCTTTGCAGCCTGAACTTCCTACGCCCTGCCTGCCGTGCCCCGGCGTCGCACAACTGCGCGGGGTTGCGCTCGAACGAGCGGCGTATGGCCGAGGAGAAGAACAGGCCCGAGATGACGGGGGTCAGAGAGCGAGACGTAGCCGAGATGCGCGAGCCTCCCCGGCAATCCGAGCTCCAGCAGCGGGATGCCGCCGCTCTCCAGTTGGGGCGGGATTGAGAAGCTATGATGCGCGCCGCGAAGTTTCTTGAGGATCGCCAACAGGCGGTTGCGGCCGAGGAGGTTTTGGCGGCGACTACCGAGATGCGCGAGCTTGCCAACGGGCTGGAGGTCACTGCTGCGTCAGAACGCCTCGCGCAACTCCACGAGAAACACCTCGCAGAGGAAGCCGGGCGCGTCGCCCAGGGGGTGGCGGGGCTCGGCGCTTGATTATGTCGCGTGCAACCCAGGCGCTCCAGGCCTCAGAAGGCCGGAATGCGCGTCTAGCAGCAGAGGCAGCCGCCGGCAGGCAGTCTGAGTCAGACCGCATCGTCGCTGAAGTCGCGACTCGACAGGCAGCGGAGGAGATGCCAGCCGCTGAGGGGCGAGCGCGGGACGCAGTGCTTCGCGCGCAGTTTCAAGCAAAGTCGCTGCCGAAGAGGCCCCGCGGCCGAAGTCCGGGGTGGCCAGGAAAACGCGAAGCTTATCCAGGTGCGCACCGAGTGGGAAGTCATCGCCAACGCTCGACAGGCGGAGCAGATGGCCGCGCAGACGACGCAAAAGGTGGGAAGCCGAACGAGATGAGCTCTATCGTAAGGTCAACGAACACCAAGCGCAGTGGAACCCAATCGGGGTGTCCTCGTCGGCGTCTGCGGGGGCCGCGACAACTGCGGCTCCGACTGCCGTTGCTGCGCGAGCCCCCCCGCCGCCGGCACCGCCCAGGACGGTGAGGCCCGCCGCGCCGAGGCAGGGCCCGCGCTTCTCTTGCGCGGGCGCGCTATGGTGTTTCCATTGCTCGAAGGTGGCTTGCCGCGACTGCAGTTCGTGCCAGGCGGGTATTTGCGATGATCAGTATGTCCCAGAAAACGAGATGCGGGCCAATTGCTCCGACCGAGAGAC